CCCCCCCCCCAACCAGAGTCATCGGAGAAAGTTCTTGATGATGGATGGTTTCCTCCTCATGCTCCTCTCGTTTGATCTCTTGTCCTTTTGACTTAGCCAAGGATCCTTCAGTCGATCCTTGGTTCAAATTCACCCATAGGCCGGGTCTTGGGTTGCACCTCAATAAGCCTCCATATCACCTCCTCTGAGCTCCTGAATTGGTTTTCCATAGATGAAAACCTATCATCCATTTTGGAGAACCTTTCCTCCATCCTAAATTTGATTTGGCCTACTTCCCCTTCCACTCTTTCTTTTAATGCATCAAAGTTCTTTGTTGTCATCTCTCCAAGATCTTGCTCTGATACCAATTTGATAAGCCTTATAGTCGAAAATAACAAAGAAATTGCAAGTAGTCAGCGAAAAAACCTAGATTAGGGCTAATTTTACTAGTATCCAAGCAAATAAATACGATACAAGAGTGATCTACGATTTGAGAGGTAGATCAGCTCTCAACAAACCCTAGAAGCTACTAGGAGTAAACAAACAAAAGAGAAAATTGCAGGAAACAAAAATAAAAATAAAACCTTAGCCACTTAGCCTTAATAAATACCCCCAAGGTCCTCTCAAACTTTTCTCCAAAAACACCCTTTAATTCTCCTTATAGTGTACGTGATTAAGGGTTGTGTGGCCCCCACTCAAACACTGGAATCATCCAATGATGGCTCCTAGTGTTTCCACCCCCATATATTGGGTTTATTGGGTCTAGTCGGTCAAGACCAGTTCTTTCGGACCGGTATATATGCAGTAGTTGACAGAGCCGGCATGTCAGAATGTTGATCTAAGGGTTGTAATCGGGCCGAGTCAAGTCAAGTATGTCATGGATTAGATTTGACTTGGTCAAATCATAAGTTGTTAATGTTCAGTTCGAGCCTTAGCCAAGCTTTCACGCTTGCTTAAATTTTTTAATATTCATCTTTAGTTCGTACTTGACTTTTTTATTTTATTTAAATTGACTAAAAGTTTAAACGAATACTTAATTTTTATATAAATTAAAAACCTAATGTATATTTGATTTCTGTTTGTATAAAGCTAGTAAACAAGCTAAAAATTCAATCGAGTGCTTGATTTTTAATATCTTTCTTCTTGCAAGCTATTGTCATCATACTCTAGGATATTGATAAATATGTCATTCACCTTTAACTGCAGGATCCCAAGATGCATTTCGCAGCTTTTCAATGAGATTTTCTGCTGATTGAACTGTGGCCATCTTCATTGACATGCTTACCTGGAATAAAAACAAAAGAAAAGTATTCAAGTTTGAAGCTATCAGAACAACGCAAAACAAAACAAAACAAAAAAAATATTATTAAATTGAGCTAAAAAAATAAGGCTGTTCTTAGAGTGTCAGGGCTGAACTGAACCAATTTACCTCAGCTCAAATCTCCCTCTCTCTCTCTCTCAAACCAATTACAACAAAATCAGAAAGTGGGCTATAACAAATTCAGTTTAGCCTGATTGAGCATATCAAATCAACTTTTCTTGACAATCACTTGAAATAATTTTCCAACGAATTGAAACAACAGCAAGTAAACCAGTATGAAACAAACTATTTAAGCAAATATTAAACTTACTTCAGCTTTAAACCAGACCAACTTAACAGGAGATAAAACTAAAGACAAGAACATGTTACCTCAGCAAAATTATTATATCCAAGTAGCTTAGCTTTCTCCAACCTTAGCTTCAAAATTTGATCAATAATAGGAGTATTATCCAAATCTCCTTGAGAGGCACGAGATATATGAGCACGATATACTTCTTCACGCAAAGTTCGATTTTGAGCATGTTGCAATACAGCAGAAAAGCTTGGATAATCTAATGTTATAATCCAAGGTCCGCTTTCTGCAGAAGCATTTTCATGGCCCTGATGTGGCATCCTCACAATCATAAGACAGATGATTATATCCGCAAATATAGCAGACCACAAAATAGGGAACTTTTCAGATATTAAAAGTTCTTCGTATAAAAACTAATAAGGGATACCTTGGTACGGGCTGTCTGTGCAAATAGACCAAGAGCCGTAGCAGGCAACCCTTCAAGTTCATTTATATCTGTCATTAACTTTTCAAACTTCTTGGTAGCGTCCAAGACATTTTCACTAAATTTTTGGGATAGCTTCTCAAGTTCCTGCAAGTTCATGATATGATTTTGATAACAGCTGAAAGCCACGAGGAAATGATTTCCATAAAAACAATTAGTTCAAACACTAAAAAATGTGCATCTGCTGGTTTAAAGTGATACGGAGATTCATATTATCTACACTTGTATTCACATCAGATGGATTAGCAGCCAAAAAATTCACGATAAGTATACTATCACTGAATAAGAATTTAACATAAGAATTAGATTAAGCATTAAAACTTCATATTACTCTTAAAAATAGAAATTAATTGATGGCATTCAAAAAGGACATTTAAAGTATGAAACTCTATTTAAGAAAATTAAGGCATCATCGCTTCACCATCTCTAGCACCACATTCCATCAGCAAGTCAATCAACTCTATTGAAAAATTATATCCCTCTTGCCCATATAATGCTGAGTTCTAGGCATGAGACAAAATTTGAATTTCATTTCTCATCACCCACAAAAAGATTCTGCCATGAAACTTAAAGAACATAAATTTTTTTAAAGAAAGGAATGCATGAGCATATTTCTGATATTTATATAAGCATTTTACTCCCATCTAGACATAAATCAATCCTTTGAACTTTAAGCAATCCTTAGATTTTGTTCCCCCTTATGAATTGTCACCAATTCCTCAACCAAGACAAAGCGACAGTGATTCAAAGCCTCAAAAAACTGTTTCAAATTGATTAAGGTAACAAAAAACCAACAGCTATGTAAGGAACTACAAGGTCTTGCAGAAAAAAATGAACGGCAAAATGATTTCAGATATGCACCTGCTCAATTTCGTTGAATTTCTCCCGTAGTTGATCTTCAAGAGCAACACCATTAAGAACAGCTTCCTTAACTTGCGCTGCAGGAGGAAAAATTGTGAACCTTGTGATTGTAATGAAAAAACTTTTTCTATATATAATTTTAATATCAAATTACTTTAAATGAATTAAATAAATCAATTAACAAAACAGATTAAATCAATAAACAATTAAAATTAAATTAAACATAAAATAAATCAAATTTTATAAAATTAGATAATGTAACAATAGACATTATTATAAGAAAAAACTAACACCACCTGATAAACATGTCAATTTATCCTAAAGGGCACGCATGCCACTTAATGTAGAGAATGACCAATGGCTAGATGCCCTTAGTTGAGCGAGAAAGAGAGAGCAAGTGATTGACAGGAGGACAAGTGAGAAAGCGAAAACGAGAGAGAGATAGAGGGCGAGCACAGGCGAACGCACAAGCAAATATGGGAGTCAGATCGCAGGAGCAGAATGTATGGCCAAGCAGCATGAGAGGAGCATCTAAACAAGAACAAAGACTTGTTCCACAGCAAGAATTGAACCCTATTCGATTTGATGTTGAAACTTGGGTTTTATTCTTCCTTTCTCCTAATCTAAAACAGATGATTTCATGCTAAATTATTTCAACATTCACAGATACTAAATTTATGAATTTCACCTAATTATAGTTAAAATTTTAGGGATTTTATATGGTAGTTAAAAATCCGAAGAAAAAAAAAAAGGAGTTTGAGATATGTATGCCAACACAAAAACTTTTGAAAATTTTCCTTTTAAGCCAATTGAAAGCCAAATTAGTTTTCTGCCTGTTAGTGCTTCCTACATAGAAGCCCTAAATTTAGATGTGCTGGCTAATTAAAAAAAAATTGGGTTTATATATATATATATATATATATATATATAGCAAAATATGTTTTTATTAAATTTTCATATAAAGGTCCTAAACCCTACGTTTAACTATGAAAAATTTTCCCCTGAAATGATCAGGACTAATATAAATATAAATACTGCTGAAAATTAGGTAAAAAAAATACTGCTGAAACTAGGTTTTTTTCCTTCCTACTTCCTAATCTAAAATAGATAATTTCAAGCTAAATTATTTCGATATTCACAAATTTTAGATTTATGAATTTGACCTGATCATTGTAAAAATTTTAGGGATTTTTTATGGTAGTTCAAAATCAGAAGAAAATAAAGGAGTTCGAGATATGTATGCCAACTCAAAAACTTTTGAAAATTTTCTTTTTAAGCCATTTGAAAGCCAAATTAGCTCCATGCATGCTAGTACTTCCGACATACAAACCCTAAATTTAGATGTGTTAGTATGGTTAAAATAATTTTATTAAATTTTCATATGAAGGTTCTAAACCCTCGCTTTAGAATAAGGAGGATATCAATGTATGCAAGTTGAATTGGAAGCTTTTGTCTAAATAATATAAGCATATTTGTTTCTTGAATATTAATACTACATAAAATTGATGATTTATGATAAGAAAGCCTTTAAATAAACTAGTAAATTGATACTAAAATAATAAATTTTAAATTTCATTATAATATAGGAATGATAACAAATATAATAAGAAGAGAAGCCAAGTTTAAGTAACTTAAAAACTATAGTAGGAACAAAATATGCATTGAAAAACTAAGAATAACGATGTATCTATGAATCTAAATGTGATGCAAATAAGTAATTTAGAGTAAGGGCGGAGCCGAACAAAATTTTTAATGTGGAGCACAAATTAATAATTAAAACATACTCTCAATTATAATTAACTTTTTAGAATAAATGTTGATTAAAAAAACATTATCATTGACTTTTAAGTTGGCAATTAATTAACAACGTATAAAAATTTATTAAACTAATTATTTATAGAGCAATAGTCTTATTCATTAATTAATAAATGACTACTTGTTTTTTAGATTAATTAATAATTGATTAAAGCTTTTAAAATTAATTATATTTTAATGTTTAATTCTTTAATTAAGTATAAAACAATAATACATAAGTTTGTATAGTTATAATTAACTTGATAATACATTTATTGGGAATTAATTAAACTAAATTTACATACGAAGCATACAATTCTCATGTATTTACATATCCCACACCAAAACTATTACATTTGCATAAATAACACTTTCGTAGTTTAAACTTATGAATGAAAATAATTTTGTTTTTAAAAAGTGGTAATAGTACTATCTTTTATATGATATTAAAGATTTGAGTGTTATGTGTGTAATTATAAAAATTTAGGTGTGAGATACGTAATACATAAGAATGTATGCTATGTATGTAAATGTCCCAATTTAATCTAAAAGTTATATTAAATTCGGAAACTTATTTTCACATTTTTGCTCTCCTGCCCGACTAACCCACCTTTCTCTTCCTTCCTCCCACCTTGTTTCTCACACTTCAGCTCTTCTAAATCCTGTAAATCCTTCCCAATGGGATTTACTAGATCTAATAATTAAGGTAAAATGGAGAGACGGGATTTAACTCCTATAGCATTTAAAGTTGTCCGTATTGTTGTTTTGCAGAATTTAATATAAAACTTGCCTCATATGTTGCCAACAAACAACGATTAAATACAGCTTAAAGCTGCTCAAATCCTGCCACCAAACAGCGACTAATATTTCTCTTAGAATAACAATGCAGTAGATACGTTTCAATTCTGACAAAGTTTTCTTTCTCCATTTGCAAATTTTCATAGCTTAGATGGTTATCGCGTTAGCACATGACTTAATTAATTCAAATGTTTGAAGTAAAAAAGACAAATATGATATGTAGATGTACATGTTATTGTGTGTATGTGTTTGAAAGTTGTCACTCTATTATGGTATTAACTGGTAAAGCAATGTAATTGTGCATATAAATGAAAAAGAACATAGCAATCTATCTTTTTAGGTTAGTTTTGGAAAATATTCTAGAAAAGATGTGCATTTTTGGTACACATTGATGGTGACAAGCTGAAACGGGTGTACTATATAATAAAATAAGATGAGTTATGAAAATTGTAACAAGAAAACTAAAGTATTTGTTATTGTGCTTTACCTTTCATAACAAATTAACATATATTGTTTTACTCCAACTGATGTGGGGCGCCGTGTGCCAATTGGCATGGCAATTGTCGTGTCCCCGTTCCTAGACAAGTTTGGCCTAGGCATAGGAGGGACCGGATGGTCCTTTCAGGCATGGAATTACCCCCTAGTGGGAGTGGGATCAACTCCTAGTTGTCCTAAAACTATTTAGATTTTCTTTGTTGTGTTTTAGAGGGAGTTTTTGTTGTGTGTTGTTCAGGATAGGCATCGACGTCTTTGTTTTCACGTCTAGAATTGTATCCAAGGGACAAGTTGGGCTTTGATTGTATCTCGCACCTGAAAAAGTGATTATCTTTCCTCAATCCTTTTGCATCCTTCCAACATCGACACCCATCGCGCTTCACTATAGCAGCTGCCAATAGCTGTCTGTTGTTATCCTGTAGCTTCCTATTATTTCAGCCCTCCCTCTTTGCTTCCATCATTGTTCCAGCCCTCCATCCTTGCTGTCATTTTTGTTCTAGCCCTCCATCTTCACTGTCGTTGTTGTTCCAGCCCTCCATCCATGTTGCCATTTTTGTTCTAGCTAGGGCTGTAAACGAGCCGAGCTTGAGCGAGCTCAGGCTTGGCTCGTGTTCGGCTCGTTCGAAATAGCTCGTGTTCGAAATCGGCTCGTGTTCGAAATCGGCTCGTGAACAGTGTGTTCGTGTTCGGCTCGATTTAAATATTTGAACACTAACCACATTGCCACATGAGGTGTTATGATTTAAACTTAGACATAAATATATATAACATATTATTATATAAATAATATATGCAATATATTATTATATAAAAAGTTATATAGTTTTTTTTTCAAGTCATTTCGAGCCGAACACGAGCGAACAAACTGTTGTTCGTGTTCGGCTCGTTTACATTTTAAGCTTAAAAATTTGTTCGTGTTCGGCTCGTTAGGCTTAACGAACGAGCCGAACACGAGCTGCTTAACGAGCCGAACACGAGCTGTTCACGAACAACGAGCCAAATTGACAGCCCTAGTTCTAGCCCTCCATCTTCACTGTCGTTGTTGTTCCAACCCTCCATCTTTGTTGTCATTGATGTTCTAGCCCTCACCCTTGTAGCCGCCATCTTCCTCTTGCCGCATCATCCGGGACAATCGTTCCACGTCGATTTCTACTACATACTTTTACTGTCGAGAATCTAGAAAATCATTGTCTTGTTGTTTTATGCTTGCTAACCACCTTGTCCACCATCTCACCATCTTACAAACCTTCACCGACCACCTCCACCACCCCTTGATTCAATCATAGTAGAAATTAGTGTCGTGTTTGATGCAATTTCATATTTTTGTTTTGGTTAATTGTAATTTATTGTTTGATTTTAGTAATAATATTTGTTTTTCTCATTGTGATTGGAAAATTTCAGTATTATTTGGTATCATAGCTAGCCTAATCTTAGTGATACCCTAGGGTTACAGAAAAAGCATCACTCTCTAGCCGATTATTCAAATCTACCACCCAAAATTTTCATTATATACCCTAAATCAGCTCATATATTCTCTTTTACCTCCCGAACATAAGCCCTAGCCACGCCACCGAGATAACAATTGTCGAAAACTTGATCTGGAGGAAATGACAAAATGTCGTTTATGAGAAATTTGTAAAAGGATGTCCATGAACTTTCTTTAAAAATCCTACTACTACAACAAAGATTTGCCGCTTTCGAGAAGAGGCAATCTGTAAGGGTCACTTGTAGCCACAATAGTGATTTGTTAGATCGAAAAGATAAAGTAATGCTACCTCGAAGATTTGGCATTAAATATTCATAACATGTTCCTTGAGTACTACGATGTAAATGTAGATTTACCGGATTTTGACGGTCGTAAGGATCTAGAAGAATTCATTGAGTAGTTCCACGCAATGAAACGTGTCTTTGAATAATATGACGTCCGACCGAACAGAATGTTAAAGCTAGTCGTCATTTGGTTAAAGAATGGGTACATCTCTGTAGTGAGAGAATCTGAAACTTCTTCGATATCAGGAAGGAAAAAAATAAAATCAATATGTGGTCCAAGATGAAATGAGAGATGTAACACTAATATCTACCAATTCATTATAGACGGGATATGTTCTATAGATTTCATCAGTTGTTGCAACAAGATCTCTCAATAGATGAGTACACAACAATGTTTGAGAAGCTTATGTTGAAATGTAGGCTGGTGGAGCCCAAGAAAAAAATCATAGCTCAACATTTAAGGAGATTGAGATTCTCCATTAGCAATGTGGTTCAGTTACAGCCCTATCGGACATTACAGAATGTCCAAATCCTAACTTTAAAGGTGTAGAAATATCATTGAGTGACCACCACATCTCACAAACAGAATTTCACAACAATATCAAGCAACAAAAGTACACCTAGCAAAACATCTAAATTGACCCCACCTAAGGAGAAACTAGTTAAGCATGAGAACAAATAAAGCCAACTAGCACTCTCAAATCAGTCCTAGCCACAAACTATTTCAAGTGTCATGAATTTGGAGGCTCCAATATGGTCGACCATACTTCATATTTCGATGAATTGGTTGAAGCTCCCCAAACCTCGAGAGACTAACGTGAGGCGTCACGAGTCAATTGGTGTGGCAATTGCCGCATCCCTGTTCCTAGACTGATTCGGTCCAGGTATAGGAGGGACCAGGTTATCTTTCCATACATGGAAGTGGGATTCCACTATTAGTTACCCTAGAGTTATTTATGTTGCTTTTGTCGTGTTTTAAGGAGTTTTTGTCGTGTGTTGTTAGGGACAACCGTCTACGTCTCTATTTTCTCGTCTAGAGTTGTATAAACGTCGAGTGGTGCTTTGGTTTCATCTCGCTCGCAAGATGGTGATTAACTTCCCTCAACCCTTCTACATTGTTCCTCATCAATCCTTGTCGCCCTTCCCTGTTACAGCCGCCAGGCACAGCTGCCTGTTCTGACTGCTTCCCACCATTTCAGCCTCCATCTTTGATGTCACTGTTGTTATGGCACTCCATCCTCGTTGACATCGTCATTCCAGCCCCTCATCTTCGTTGTCGATGTTGTTCTAGCCCTCCATATTTGATAACGCTATTGTTCCAGCCCTCCATCTTTGCTTTCATCGTTGCTCAAGACTTCCACTGTTGCAACCGCCGCCTTCCTCTTCTTGCCATCATCCAAGACAGTCGTTCCATGTCAATCTCAATTGTATGCTTGTTTTCTGAAACATGGGAAACTGTTACTTTGTCGTTTTCTACTTGCCAACCACCTCGTTTACCATCCCGCCACCTTCCAAATCCTCATTGACCACCTCCACCACCATTGATTCAACCCTAGTGGGAGTTAAGTGTCTTGTTTGTTGCAATTCCATATCTCTATTTTGGTTGATTCTAATTTCTTATTTGATTTCAGTAATAATATTTAATTTTCCCTTTGTTGTTGGTTAACTTTGGTACCAACCACATATTATTTCCTAGTTTTTTGAATTATTATAATAAAAAAAAAACTTTAGCTATTGAAATTCTAACCACAGAATAGTCGATGAATATTTTAGGAAAATCACCTCATGTTGAATGGAAAATAGAAAAAAATTGTCTACATATGTCAGGGAGCTCCAAGAGATGGAAAATATATTAAGTTTCTTTTATATCAATTATAAACTTGAAAAAGTTTCAAATTTAGATACATTTTAGGTGTCAAAAAACAGATATAGTTAGTTCTTTTGTATATTAGGAGACATTATTTAAGAAGTTGGAAAATATGTAATTAAGAAATTTTTTTATCCAACCACCCCTTTTGATATTCCAAACTTTCAGGCCGGATCATGACAGTGATAGTTCATATTCACAAAAAAGGTCTTGCATGTTTTGATACATGTTTCATTTGCTCACAACAAATCTATTAGTCAGTCTGCGGGACCTTTTGAGATTGCCTACGAACGGATTCCCATCATACCTTTAGAGTTGGTGTCGTTGCTTCCAAGTACTGAGCTTAGTACTGATGCCAAGACTAATGTCAAGGAAATTCTAATACTAAAAGCGAGCTAACAAATATAGAAATGTTATGATCTTCAAATAATGTGACTTAATGTAGATCAAATTGAAGAATAAGAGATTTCATACAAATTCATTTGAATAGCTCAGACCTAGAGAGTTCATTCAAAATTGTTAAGTGAACCAATGATAATGCTTACAGGATTGATCAACCTGATTATTATAATACTTTTTTCTAGTGTCATTGATTTGTCATCACACAATAATGATCCAATAGTTTCGGACAATAAAGATGAAACCTCCTCTATCAGAGGATAATGACGCAAGCATCTCTTAACCCACATGAGAGGATGGGATCAGCCTTGACTCATCCAACTCTAAACCGGTTCAAGCTTTCTCCCACCCCCAAGGGGTCAACCAGCTCTTAGGGCCACCTTATTGCTTAGAAAGAAATAAGATTATTGTTATTTTGTTTCCATGATATCAATATTTTGTTTTAGACTTGTGATGCACTTTTAGTTTTGATGTTTATTCGATTGGAGATTATCTTCCCAAGGTTTTACGTCTTTGAAATTTTGTATCATCTTCTCTTCAAGTAATGTGAATGTAGTTTGATTGAGAAAAGGTAGCAAATCGTCCTTGGTGTATATATACCACAAATCTCATCACGGACCCTTTTTCATAGCTTTTTCCTCCCAAACAGCAACTATTCAAACAACTTCATTTCTTAGGTTTTTCACCTTTTCTCTAATCCTACAACACCCCAATTTCCTTTATTGATCCTTATATATACATCATCAACATTATTAGTTTTTTTTTTTTTTTCAATAAACCTTTTTCTGGGAGAATTATAACAGAATTCAATCACAAACTCACACAAAAATAGTATACGCAAAACTTTGAACCTAGGTCCTCTTATTTGGGATCATAAGCTCCCAACCAGTAGGATAAGAAGGGCTACATTTTTTTCCTCAACTAAAAACATTTACTTTGTTTATTTAGGGCTTCTTCTTTTTTTAAACATTTGCATGTCAAAAATTTTTTGAATTGAACATAACGTTTTAGGGCTTTCGAAATGGTTATGGGTAAGGAGAAAGGGGTAACGAAATATAGGAAAAAACCAGTATGAAAATATAGTTTGCAGTCAAAATTGATGAGAGTGGCATGCATATGTCTATTTGAAATACAACTACAACGATGAGGTTGTTAAACGAGGCGTAACAAGAATAATATAGCATATTTTTAGCAAGCACGATAATGTTGAATCATTTAACAAAGTCTCTAAAAAGGCAAATTGAGAATGAGACGAGAAATCAGTTCATATGAAAATGATTCTCATGAAGATCCATTGAGTGATGAGAGCAATGGAATTTCTCAATTTAAAAATTTTAACCTTATAGCCTCGTTATGTTCCTATCTTGATATAGGAATGGGGGAGTGAGACACTTTTAGTGTTGAACTTATTTTGAATTATTATATTTTTACTTTGAGATAATAACTTATTTTGATATTTGTATAAGACTTCTTACACAATGATCCAATATTAAGATATTAATATATCATTTCTTACTTCATACATTGATTTTAGATAATACTTCTTGCATTGAGCAATCCATTGATTTTTAGGATTACATCTTAAAATGCCTTGAAGCTTACACATCGCCACGCAAACTAAGAATAACTCAATAAATAATTATGCAAATTTAAAACTTGAGTGATCATTCTAATTTTTCCATTGGTCACTATATAGAGTAAAATTTATCAACTATCAGCAACAAGGCTACTCTGGGGTCGTTCCACATTCACTGATATCTTATACCTTGCAAGAACATCCACCATCACATAATATATAATATATGAATACATCAAGAGCTAGTTCATCTATCTCCAAGGCTTCTGATAGAGTAGCATGAGTTTTTTTTTTATTTTTTAATTCACCATGGGAGAATTGATGGAGCCCATTGGGTCATTCGTTGTTAAGATTGATATCTCACATGGTATAAGATTAGATTGAAACTAATAATCTTGTAATAATGTATAGTATCTTTTTAATTGTTTAGGGCATTCATACCATTAGTTTAAAACTCATTAGCCATTATTTTTTTTTTTTTTTATTTGGAGTTGTTGAGTAATTTCCAAGTAATATTACTCCCATATAACTTGTTTGTCCTCTTTTAAACCTGGTTGATAAATGAGACTAAAGATTTATTGTGCTTGCAAATTGTTGGCGAACAATTCAGATTGTTGGCGAAGATAGGAGCACCCCCCCCCCCCCCCCCCAAAGTTTGGTGAGAGTTCATCCTTCCCCAAAGTGATGTTATAGGTCCTTGAAGAAGTCATAATTGTTCTCTCGGTAAAACTGAATCTTCTTTAACAAGTAGCATATATCTTTCATAGTTTTCTTCAATTCATTGTTGTTACAATCTTCCAACAACCTGATAACCATCAAAATGATTCTTAAAATCTATTATTTTCCTGATCCATCGATGCCATAACCAATTCATCTCATAATTAAGGATTTAACAGAAATTTAGCATCATGTTTTTTAAAAACAATAAAAATTATGAACTGATATCAAAACAACATATACTAGTCACAAAAAACTTGAACTGACAAGACTCGATTGATAACAAAAGAAAGGTTGGATAGGAAAAATTAGAGAAGTAAAATAAAGGAACTCAAATAACCATTAGTTTATACAAAAGGTATTTTTAGCAAAAAAATTTGTTCATTAATAAATAAAATAGACAGTAGCACATCGTAGAAACACAATACATTTCAACAAACATATGTTCATACAACACAAAATAGCAAAAGACAGGATACTTACCTTCCACAATTCGTTTATGAGCATCAGAAAGAGATGACCATGATGCTGAATCCTGAATAGCTTTGAATGCATTATAAATAGGTTTACTTTGTCCCAATCTTAGTTGGAACTTAACCTTATCTGGCTGTTTATTAAAAAAAAAAGATGCGGAAACAACAAAGTTAGTTGGAGTACTGCCAAATCAATAAGCAAATAAAAAAATAATGAAAAAACTCACAAGAACTAATGAAGAAACAAGAGTTGTTAATGCATGTGAGATTTAAATTGTCACATATAAGCGTAGAAATTTCACATGGTTGACACTCATAATAAGCTTGAACTTTGGGTTGAAAATGGATTTTACAATTGGTGTAAGCTAAACATAGGCCCCTTTTAGTTCATTCTCCCCAAAGAGTTATTTGACAAAGAACAATAACTTTATGGATCCAGAAAGTCTTCACCCTACAAACATGGTTAAGCAAAGTTCAAGAGTACATAACTCTGTCTCTAACAATGGATCCACATTGTTGAGTGGGCTCTTGGCATACTTGATGAGGCTCCTATTTGAGAGCAAGAGTGTATGCGTATGTGCACATGTGCGGGCTAATGTGAGGAGATTTTATGTGAGTTGAAGAGAAGACACGTGAGATTTGTAACTAAAAATGTGTAAAAATATAAAGTTCACTCGCTCATAAACTAAAGATTCTGAATTGAAAATAAATTTAACCATTGGTGCAACAACTTCGGTCTCGAATAATGTATAAGGCTCCCTAATGGCAACAATTTCACAAAAATCAAACTAATTTGATCAAGCTTTCAACACATAATTAATAATTTCAAAGTTGCACATGATTGTGGATATTGCTTGGTTAAAATTTTATCTCGTCGGGGGTGGCAGTGGGTGGGTCAATGTGATGTCATATTGTCGAATCATAATATCAAATCCTTGGACAACAATATGATTCCCAATAACTAGAACCTCACTTTAAATGCCTCTACAATCTCATCCATTGAAAGCTTCCTACAGTAGTGTTTTTTCTAAAGTACTTCTTCAAAATTTCTTTAGAGAGGTCTTAGATCTCAATATTCACACTGTTTGTCAACATCACTGCTCTCAAAAAAAATTGCAAGAATAAATCCCTCAATTTCAACCTTCAAAAAGCATCTCAAACATATATAATAAATAAGGATAGACGATTATAGCCTTTTCAAAGATAAAAGCTTGTAAGTCAAAAGTAGAGTTTCCACAAAATGAAACCTTTGAAAAGATTTCACGCCACACATTCTAATATCCTACAATCAAACAGCTACAAAACGAACCTGCACTTCATCAATGGCAGATCGAAGCTCCGACGAATCCTTCACCGACTTAAGATGATTCACAATGCCCCACACAACCTGCAGCCTATCCAGAATTCTCTCCAGCGGCTCCACTAACTTGGGCCATGTAGGCTCCACCGTCCTCTCCAGCTCCACCAGATCGCCCTCCTGCATCACCAATCCAATCAAACAAGCCAACGAAAACCCTATCCCTAAACCCAAAAGAAAATTCTTACGAGTCTCCTCAAGAGCTCCCGGATTCCCGGCTGCACGTGCTTCGCCTCGACGATGTCGAAAGGGGGGAAGTCGAAGTCTCCAAGAAGCGGGTTCGAGTCCAAGCTGTCATCGACCGAAGAGGTCATCTTTGACGAAGGGACAGTGCAGAAACCAGCGGAAATAAGAGATACGGTGTGCTTTGTCGGTCGGTGGAGGCAGAAGGAGAAGGACGAAGACCAGAGGGGGCAGGAGAAGGTTTTGGGAAGGGTTTTAGACAGGCGAGGGATTTGCGTGGCGGAACGGAGAAGAGGGGCGGAGCAAGACAAGGATACGAAGCTCGCCATTAGCATGGTGACGCTTATAATGGCTAGACTTGATCGGTTCATTTTGTCGCACCGGCCGAAGGTGCGAGCTTGTCTGGTTCATCAGTTGTACGTAGCCCCAACTGCATTTGCGCGGATGGGGGTGCGATGTTTTTGGACTTTGCCTCGTCCAAGAAGAGATTTTTTTCATGCTTTCAACAAGTATAATATGTAAAGATAATCTAATTTGTCGAATGTACTGATTTATCTACATGACTACATCTATCAGATATTCCCAAAAATAATTCTATAAGGTGCCCGCAAATTATGCAAATCTTTTATTACTTGAAAGCCCTAGAGTGAATAATGGAAGTCCTTTTTAGTAGTCTTTTTTGTAGTATTAATTTAAAAATTATTTTAAATTTTAGAGATTTATATATATATATTTGTATACAGTAGAAGTGTCGATATGAATGTCAAAGCAATCTAACGGTCGAGGATGGTGGTCAGGTGATCAAGGCATCAGATTAATAGAGCATGATCTGAACCGTTCATTGAACGACTAACCGCCCGATCAAATTCAACTTGCATACTATGACGATAAGCTAAATCAGCGGATCATGCCCGCAGCCTCAGTCGCCTAGGAGCTCCTTACAAGGGCGTCCCATCGCACCTGGTCGAACGACCGGCTTTTACTTAACTAGGCACGATCGTCATTCAACCGGTCGCCTCAGTCAGTCGAACCCAAGCAAATCGACCAGCTGGTTACCGTCATTTCCAAGTTCAAATTGTCATACATATTTTGTATGAAATTAACATAATTAATCATGTTAATAGTGGTTTCGTTAATTGTTCCCTTCTATAATTGTACAATACGTCTCTATAAATGGGAGGCAAAAAAAAAACAAATAAAAGGATTATTCTTTGTTTCACTATAGAAATTTGTAGGATTACTATCTCTCTCTCTCTCCCTCCCTCTCTCTCTCTCTATTCCTCCTTCTGGCTATAACTCCTGAGGCGTGTTCACAGCTGACAACCTAGGATTCAACAATATTATTTAATTTTTATACATCATAAAAAAATTGATGATAATAAATTTATAAAAAAAAATAATTTTTTATAATGTATAATCAAAGTACATTGAACCGAATACGGCGGCTCTGGATGGGACACGTGTCGAGGACTCAATCTTGACAAGCACAAAGATAGCAGACAGCACAAAGCGGATGATTCAACCGACCAAACCGAGAGGGCCGAAAAAGTTGACAAAATGGCTCGCCATCCTAGTAGTGATACTGATGAGCGCAAAAAACTACATTCAGCACATAGCGGATGATCCAACTTATTTCATCGAGTGGGTGGATTGAATAAGTTGATGAACGGCTCGTAGGCTAGGGAGCAAGCAAAACAGTGGTTAGGCGAGAAAAGAATTGGCTACTGTAATGATAATCATGACAATTACCAATGTTTAATAATGTGATTTTTATTTACTATAAATGTATGAACACAAACATGTAAAGGAGACTTTTATGAGAAGGGAACAGGGGAATACCATTAATACTATCTCTCACGCTCTTTTCTCTCTTTATTTATCTCCTTATTTACGTTATATACCTTAGCTGTGCTTTAAGGACAAATTTGGGATTAACATTCTTAAAGGTATGGTGAGCATGAAATCATGCTGCAAATAAGAAGAGGTGTGATTTAAGTTGAACACCTTTCACCTCAGGAAGCCCTTAATGACATGAATCGCACCTGTGAATTTCTGACTCAAAAAATCAGTAAACTCAAAAAGCAGATGATGGATGCGCTCAGAAGCACACTCACCTTAAAAAGAAGGCACTTATCACAACCACCGACATCTTATTACCCAGAAGAATGGCCTCCTAACTGTTGTAAGGATCCTCTTATCCTCGAACTGGAATGAGACACACGCTACCTTGATAGTGTGGACTCCACACTGCTCGACCATCATTGGCATGAGCGTACGAAAGCACCGCAACCCACACTGCTTGAGAATGCCTCTTCCCAACAAATCTTCGAATATGAACCAACAGATTACTTCAAGATCTTGGCACTATAACTCTATCAGGGACGGTCAGGACCGCTTATCGTATGTCCTCTTTTGAGTCGACGGTATGCCTATTAATGTTCAATAACACACTCAAATGTCACTTTTTCCTCACCATGTTCAAGGAGTCAGTCCTTCGATGATTCAATGGTCTATCATTATCGGTGATGACCTCTTTCATAGACTTTTAAAGAATGTTCATCATTTAGTTCACCAACGCAAGGAAACCCTTAAGAAACTTGCAGGCCTCCTCTAGCTATACCAAGGGAAGGGTGAACCTTTATGCACCTTCATCACTCTATTTTAGATGGAAAAAATTGGAGTCTGGGATCTCAAACCCACGGTCGAACATGTTGCCCTCGCACAGAGACATAAGGAAGAATTCTTCTGCTTATCCTTAAGCCGACAACGATCTAAAAATTTGGTTGAGTTATTGAAGCTGACCAGTCCGTAAAAGAGTATAACTTCACTTTCACACATACAAAGGCATCTGATTGGCACCCTTCGAAGAGAAGTGTTGGTGGTGAAAGTTGGAAGTCGATGCACAAGCAACATCTACTCATCAGGGCCCACTTCGAGGAATCAATGTCGTTCCTAGAGGGTGAGACATTAAATAGAAGGAAATACTACTAAGATTGGTCCCATAAAAGTCTGTGATAAATGAAACAACTCAACGAAAGAGGATTACCACCCTCGGCTCATGAATTTCCTCAACCCACTCCACTGAGGGTCTCCCATCCCACATGAGAGTCTTATTTGTGACATATGGCATTGGTAGTGCGAGCCTTTCAGAACAAAGACTACTTCAAGAATGATCTACTAATGAAAACAGAGAGCTATCTTTAAAACCTAGAGATACATTACACGTGAAGTAGAGACTCCAAAAAATATTATAAGGGCGACTTACCAAAGCCTCATGAATGTGATTTACAGAATAGAAAGGAAGAAACACAGAATTGCATGTAGATGATGTATTGGTTAAAATTAAAACATCTAAACAACACATTAAAAATTTAGAAGAAAATTTTGAAACTCTAAAAAAATATATCATGCAATTTAACCCACCCAAATGTGTGTCTGACGCAATTACAAGAAAGTTCTTAAGATATCTCTTAATACATGAAGGGATAAAGGCCAATTTCCAGAAACTTCAAACCCTAGTCAAAATCAATCTCCTTGAAATATCAAGGAATTATAACACTCAATTCAAATCAAAATCGGGTGATAAATGTGTTACCTTCTTCAAACCCTTTGACGAGCAGATTGCTTGACATGGTCAGACGAATGTGAATTTACTTTCTAATGGTTAAAAGAGTCCCTAGTTGATTTGATCAGTTGGGCTCAGTCGATGTTGCTAGTTGATTAAGCTCAATTGGCTTTAGGTCGACATGACTGGTTTGGTCGGCTAGACTAGGCCTGCGTTGTCGTTCAGCTAATCTAATCCAATCTCGACCCTTGATCCCTAATGAGAAACTTCCGTCGGCAGAACGACGTTGGGCTTCCGAGCAGAGAGTGAAACACCATAATTTGACAAGTAGTTTGCTCTTCAATGAGGAGAGGTTGCATAATGACTATAATACTCTTTGACGTATTTTTAATTCTTGATCTCTAATGAGGAGCTTCGGGGGCTGTCGTGGAATGATTGGCGCTATTCCGGGACTACATCTTCTCTCATATCAGATCTATCGAAAGGTAGGTTGCTGCATTTGTTTGGCTTTCTTGCAGTGGTTAGCTTGAGTCTTTCTTTGACTCCTTTGTGACCAAAAGACTCGAATTCAGTCGCCTTCGTGACTCAATTGACTTTGCTCTAGCTAAGACAATCATATTTGATTTGATAAGTGGGCCCCACTTGATTTTTTGTAGGCGCACTGTCTTTCGTCGTACTATTTTACTTCTGAACTATTAGCTATCCTCAGGATCAATGCTGATATAAGCCTATTTAATAACCTTTTTTCTGAATCTTCACTTCTGCTCTTCTGCGGATTCTCTTTCTTTTTAAAGCCTGTTTTAATATTGAATTATCAAAATTAATTTATATTAAATCATAAAGTTAATTATAGAGAAGGAGATAGTCTACATGTGCTTATAGTATTCATAAAAGAAACGACGAAGCATGAAGTTCCTTTATGCAGATGATCATTTGTGCAATGACGACCCAACTCAACATCCATTATGGCCCACATTACATTTTAGCAAGACGACGTCGCTAAATATCACAATACCGCCATTACTACGACTATTGCTTGTGCACAATATAGAGCTTAATTATGTCGAACATTTTTCATGCACACTCCATGTTATTCATCTTTTTATTCCGGATCGAACATCAACGGAGGAAGGATTATTCTGGTTTCACTGCTCGAATATTACGACAGTGTAAATCACATCATGTCATGTGCATGATAGCATGATGCGATGCATGATATCATCCGCACATCCGAACTACAAACATAATATCTTTTCTTTTAGAGGAATCCTCTCTCAGTCATAGAGTAAGTAAAGCAGAGCCCCAACCGAAACAATACTATGAAGAAGCATTTATTTATTTTTAAGTTGTTGAGGCAGGTTTATGTTAACCCTTTTAATATGTATATATATATATATATATATA